TAGTCAATTACAACACTAAAAAAACATGAATGATAAAACTAAATGAAACAAATATTTTTTAAGTTGATTACAACACTCTCGACAGTTAGACTAACACCAACTTGATATTTTTTTTTTGCAAAGTCTTATGATATTCACTTTTATTTTTAAAATATTCTTCAAAAAATTTAAATCAGAGATTGAGTTGAAAAAAAAATCATGGGAAACAAAGATTATAATTAGGTCAAAAATGCTATTTTCAAAAAAAATTATGAGTAAAATGTTATGGAAGACATTTTTTTATATAGACGCTAATCGTAAGGATTTCAAATTATGTTATATAGATTTTCAAAAGCTTTGATTTTAAAATAAGCAATAATACAAAATAAATGCAAAAAATGTTTGATAACTATATTAGGTAACAACCAAATTCTATCTACATTATTTTTTTTTGTTTTTCAAAATTCAAATTATCACATATGCTTAAAAATATAAGTTTATTATATGTTTGATGTGATAGTTAATTCAGAAAATAAAAGTCAATAAATATGATAATTTTCAAATAATTTATATTATATAATTGAATAAGGATTGAATATACGAAAATAATTAATATGATATAATTAAATTTCAAATCCTTTTTATTCTATTTAACTGGCTAAAAAATATGTTTTGAAATTATTTACTATTTTTGTGTCTCTTTTTGAATAAATTATTTTTAATGATTAGTTTGATAAAATATATTTGATTTTCTGACTAAATTAATATGAGTGACACATATTGTAATTATTCTAATAACATAAGTTTTTTTTTTCTAAACATCTTTGAGGAACTTTGTGGAGGAGATACCTCAGCATTGCAAACTTGTTAATAACATATGAAACAAATGTTATTTTTAAAGTGTTTTTGTTAATTAATTAATAATATAAAATAGTATGCAAATTTGATCTAAAATACGTGTTTTTAGAACAAAATAATATGTTATTTTATAAAACATCAGCATTTTTCTACAAATTGAAAAAAATGTTCATATATGTACTTAATTTTGTTAAAATTTGTACGTAGTTATTTGATTATTTCACTGTTATTTTGATTAAGCTACATTCAAATACACTTTAGTTAATTTATTATAACTATTGTTTTTACGCAAAATTTAATAGTTTTTTTTCTTTGGAAAATGCGCGTATAAAATTTATTTTAGCTGTTGATTTATAATTGCAATTTTTTTTATGAACATTAACTTCTAGTTTTTTAATTTTCTAATTTTCTATCACAAAATAAATATTAAATGTCTCTAAAGAAGATTAACGATAATCTTATTGCGGCGAAAACCCAAAAAAAAAAAACGATTAGCTTATTATTATTAATTATTGTTTTCCATTAATGTGAAAAAGGGAAAGAGTGAAACTCTCTCAGCTTTTGGGTCTTTATATCAGACTTGATTTCACCCTATCCCTTTTCTTCTTCCTCCTTCGTTTCTCGCGACTTCTAGGGTTAGGTTTTGTTGAATTCACGCGTTATTCTTCTCCCCCAATTCTCGACTGGAGAAGTTATTCCATCGCAGGTAAGGTAAGTATCTATTCTTTCTTTCCTTCGCTCGTTCGATTACTGTATTGAATTTTCGTCGATTTCTTCTTCTTCTCTCGATTTGGGTTGCTTTTATCCCCCACCGTCAAGTGAATTTTGAACGAAATTTTCAATCTTTCGGTTGATTGCTCTATAAACCCTTTGGATCTGATTTTTCCTGCCCAGTTGCGAATTCTCTCGGTATGGTTTTTGTTTTTTGAGCAAAATTTCGAATTTGTGCCCGAATGTATCTAATTGGCGATGAGATTTGGGTATTAAGTTATCCGATTTGTGTTGGCTTAGTTCGGAATGAGGTTCGATAAGTTCGTTTCCAATGATTTGCAATTCGCAAATGCTTTCTCGTTCGCCATGTTCATAGCTTGAATTTTTACCCCCTTTTGAGTTTTAAGTCTCGTTTTAGACTATGTGGTTATGTCAAATCCACTGTTACTATTCACGAATTCAGTCTTTTCCGTGAAATCTGCTTTCTTTGTCATCTGTCAGCTGATTCTTGGTCTTAAAGTTTTTAATCCAATTATGAAGATCATAGCTAGTACTATGTTTTGTTTGCTGGGGAATTCAATCTATTTTTTTCGTTATGATCTCTTTATCTATGTCCTTTCTAGCTGTTGAGTATCAGTTTGATAACCATCGTAAAATGATGCACATTTTTTGGTTCTGTTTTTGCTAGATTGGGATATTTTTGGATTTAGAAGATACTTATGGCTGGAGTACTAGCTGGGGAATGTTCGTACAGCGAGAGTGGAGTTTCGTCTCACTCGAGGAATTCCCATGAAAAGCAAGACGAGGTTTCCCGCTGGTACTTCGGAAGAAAAGAAATAGAAGAAAATTCGCCGTCAAGGTTGGATGGTATTGACTTAAAGAAGGAGACTTACCTCCGCAAATCCTACTGTACATTTTTGCAGGACTTGGGAATGAGACTGAAAGTGTAAGTTCTTTTTTTCCTTTCTGTTTATGTACGCCGAGATTGGTCCATTTTTCATTGAACTGCTTCAAACTAGCTTGTCATGATAAATCTTCAAAGATTGTGTAATATAGTTGCCCCTCTACATATAGATTTAGTATAATTGGAGTATGATCAATTTTGATGTGCTGGTGATGGTTTTAGGCATACCTTAGTACTGACATTAGTTCTAGGCTTCTAGCACCTTCCATAAAAAGTTGTAAAACTAGTGTTTATTTTGTCTCAATGTTTCTTTGATTGATATGAATACAAGGAAGAGATAGTTACTAGTGGTGACGAAATTATTGCCACTGTCTGATTCTACTTCTTGTAAAACTAGTGATTTGTTTGATCTAAATTTTTCGTTCATTGACGTGAATGCAAGGAAGAGATAGTTGTTAGTGGTGAAGACATTACTGCCACATTGTTTGAATTTTACTGCTTGTAGTCATGGTTTCTGCACTGTTCAAAGCTTTCAATTTTTGATTCTCAGTGAGAGTGGCTGATATAGTTTTCCAATCAGTCCCCAGGTTACAATAGCTACAGCGATAATCTTCTGTCATCGATTCTTCTTTCGCCAATCACATGCAAAGAATGACAGAAGGGTGAGTTTATGTTTTGCACCTGAACGAGTTGAATACTTAAATAAATATGGACTTTAGTCTGTGTTATTCGAATCACTATGCTGTAGTCTGGCTAGTGTAGAATTCAGGTATCGCAATGTCTTGGATCCTTGGTATTCTTATATATATTGGTTCCATCTCCTTGCCATTTTTCCTGGTAGTTCTAGAGAGTACATGAATCCGAATTGTGATATAGATTTAGCGTTTTACTTATCTATGGAAGGATTAATGAATTGGGATTGTTGGTGCTGATTAATTTCTTCTAGAACAGGAAAACATATTTAGATCTTTACTGAGCCATATCTTGATTTTGTTTACACAGACCATTGCGACCGTATGCATGTTCCTTGCTGGAAAGGTTGAGGAAACTCCACGGCCCTTGAAAGACGTTATTTTTGTCTCCTATGAGATCATAAACAAGAAGGATCCTGGTGCTGCACAGAAAATCAAGCAAAAGGTATTTATCATACTGCTGAATCTTCTCAAATCTCTTGCCCCCGTTTAGCTAGTTTAATTGAATGTATCGCTGTTCCCCATATCCTCTGTGTTCTTTGACGTTAAGGTTGTACTCTTAGCTACAGACTTTGATCCATCGTATTGTAGAACCATGGTCCTATGGTACTGATTTATTTCTTGCTCGTTAATATTGTGTACTGATTTATATCACTGTTGCAGGAAGTATATGAGCAACAAAAAGAGCTTATATTAAACGGAGAAAAAATAGTACTTTCTACATTAGGCTTTGACCTCAATGTTCATCATCCTTATAAGCCCCTTGTAGAAGCAATAAAGAAATTTAAGGTGGCGCAGAATGCTCTTGCCCAAGTTGCATGGAATTTTGTTAACGATGGGTACGTTGAAGTGCTATTTCCTTCTAAAGCTTCCAATAATTCTATGTGCCTTGTATTTTCTTCTTCATACAATGGAAAGTGGCTTGCAGTCTGCGGACATCACTCTGCCTGCAATTTAAGCCTCATCACATTGCGGCTGGTGCAATTTTTCTTGCGGCCAAGTTCCTTAAAGTGAAGTTACCATCAGATGGAGAGAAGGTTTGGTGGCAAGAATTTGATGTCACGCCCCGACAATTGGAGGGTATGTAACATGATGAAATTGAATCTTCGACATTTGTTACTTTGTTTAGATATGTTTTGTAGGAGTGATCACCTTTTTGTATATTTCAGATGTTAGCAACCAAATGCTTGAGCTTTATGAGCAAAACCGTGTCCCTGCCTCTCAAGGAAGCGAAGTTGAAAGTAGTGTAGGTGGAGGGTCAGCTCATCGGACAGGCTCCAGAAATGCAGCGTCAACCGATGAGCATGTGGGTTCCAGACACACATCAGTACGTCCAACCCATGAACATTCAAATTCTGATAATCATGGGGGTTCATCAAAAGGCGTTTTGAATCAGAACAATGATAATGGGGGTGAGGCAGCTAATGTCAGTGTGGGCCACAAGGAGGAGACAGAGAGAGAAACAAAACAAAGCCCGCATCCTGAAAATCATCCAGCTCATAAAGACAGTGTGAGAGAAGTCTCCCATGACTCTAAACCTTTAGTTGAGGCACCTGGGAAGGACAACTCAGAAAGAGAGGGTGGAGAGCTTCAAGATGATGGAACTGTTCACAAACCTAGAAATATTGATACAGGTGATGCCCCAATAAGCCAATCGCCAAAAGACTTGAAATTGCTTCGAGATAAGTTTAAGGCTAAACGGGAGAAGGCTAAGAAGTTTCTAGGTGAAAGAATGAGGAAAAAGGATTTGATGGATGAGGATGATTTGATTGAAAGAGAATTGGAAGATGTGGAACTAGCTGTTGAGGATGAAAATGCGAAGCAAAAGAACGTACAGAGCAGGCCAAAGGTCGATAACTCTGATCCCGTGGGTACAGAACATGGTGAGATTCTAGATGTTAAAGGGGGAGCGAAAAACACAGAGGAAGGCGAAATGGTAAACGATGTGTCCCCGATGATGCACAGCAGAAAGAGAAAAATGGGAAGCCCTCCTGAAAAGCAGTCAGAAGGAAAGAGACGCCACAATAGTGAGAATGGTGAAGAAGGCCACAAGACGAGCAGAGGTAGTAGTCATGGTGATAGAGAGCACAGAAGACACTCACAAGAGAATAACCATTCATGAGAGGTAATGATTTTTTAAAACTGCTACTCTTGATTTCATCTTATGATGGTCTTTCTGAGACCTTTGGCACTTTGATGCCCAACCATGTGAACTTGACTTCTACATGGGTCGGTTCAGTCGTTGGAACCATGCTCAGTGTATTGTATGTTGATTATATACCTATTTGTGGCATTTTGCACAATCCAACGGCTTGAACAAAGACTTATCATCCTAAAAGGATGTTGAGAAGCTAATTAGGTTTTCCTTCCAGTACTACTACATGCTAGGGAATTCTAAAATATGCATTATCACCTGCTTTTTTATTGTTTCTGTGGTATTTTAAACCGGGCAACCGTTTGATTCGGCTAGGCAACTTCATACTTTCATTTGCTTCCATTTGCCTTATCATTAGCTCATTTCTCTACTATGGTAAGATGAGAGTTGGGTCATTGCTTGCGGAACTGATCATAGGAAGTATAGATTGTAGTCAAGTCCACAATCACTCGATAACTTCTTTGTACAGCACATTGCCTAACAGAGTTCACTTTTTGATAGCTTCCCCAAAATTTTGTTATTATTAGATTGTTGTGTACATAAGTTATCTTTGATGTAAAAGAGAAACCTTTGTACGGCGTTGAAGTCAACTATGTAATAAATCTGTAAGATTTTGTTTTCTTAGTTGTGGTCTTCTAACCCATTACAGAACTTTCACTTAATTCAAAAGGATTGAAGTGCAATATCATCAAAAACCAGAGTGTGAATTTGCAAGGAAACATAATTCGATTGAACAATCAAAAAGGGAAAAGGATAAGAAATCATCACAACAAAAAAACTATATGATCTATGCTGGAGTGGAATTTGGAGAGCGCCAAAAGTCATAATAAAAATCTATGCTATATTTTATGCAAATAATAACAATAATCATTGGAGACCTTTTTTTGTATGAATCAGCAAAGAAACCACAGACGGTAGCCATGGAAATCGCTTCTTGTTCGATACTTAACAATCTTCAACTTTCTTGTACAAAGACTTCTCTTTTCACTCGATATTTGAGCAACCAGTCATCACACGACACCGGAAGACGCAATTGCTTACCTTTTTCCGATTTCTCAGAGAAATCACAGATTCTCGGAAAATGCCTGCGATTGCAGAGACAGAGATTCTCTACGCGTTGCTTATCAGCGAGACCAGAAGATGTAAACCCATCCGGAGAATTCGCCGTGATACTTGAGGTTGATGGGTAAGTTCCGATGTAGAAAAGCTTCAAACTTTCTTAACAGATTGTTGAACTGGAGCAAGTTCTTGGTTTTGATTCAGTGATGAGTGACTTTTGTTTTTGTTTATTTTAGGGTAATGATTGATACATGGTCAAGTAATCGCCAGGCGTTCAATGTAGGTGCGGCTTAAATCACCCATTTTTCTAGAATATTTTCAAATTCCATGAGATTTTGTGGTCTGTGATGGTTTCTCTTTCTGATGTTATTGCTCGTATTGTGAATTCCAGCTTTTCAAAAACTTGGGCTTGACTGTGCAAATTGGCCTGAACCAGTATATTCAGACCTTTTGAGGTATAATATCTAAGTTGTTAACGATCTCTGACTTGTGTTTTCTGGTTTGCTTGAAGTTTACTTTGAAATGCTTAAGAATCGATTCTGTTGCAACTGTTTTCATCTATTTGTGACCTTGATGAATCAAGTATTTCGGTTTCCATATCTTAGATTCTGATTGTAGGAATTAAAAAGTCTATTAGATACGAAGCTGATAATTCTGTTCTATTCAAACTATTATTGCTTCTTCTTTTGTCTTAGACTCATAAACAACGACTATTTTCTCTTTGATTACCCTCTAAATGAGTAGACTATTAGATTGAGTTCATTTTACTATTGCACTTCATTATCTGAAGATGTTTAGTTAATGATTTTCCAGAAAAGGTGCTGCTGATGAAGAGAAAATGTTGGTTTTGTATTTCAACCAGGTACGTTATCAAATTTTTGTTTAAGCATTATTATTCATTAGCAAAGCCGAAATACGAGCGCATAGTTATCAAACTCTGAAGCTTCCTTCTTCTCACTTGTTTATCTACCTCTTTTCAGATTGGGTGGCCTTCGTCTTTGCCAACCAATGAGAAAGAGACTTTTGTAAAAAGTGTATTGCGAGAAAAGGTTGCACGCATACTTGAACATGATGTTATCTTCAGCTAACTACATTCTCTTCGAAGTTAAGGTTCGATAACTCCATCAATTGCTTAACTTTTCAACTTGTTTGTTGGCAGAAAAATGCAATGAATGAGTTTCTGATGTCGAAAAGCTTACCTCTGAAATCTGGAGTCCAAGAGTGAGTCTCTTTAGATATGACTGAGAATTTCTCTTTCAGATTGAAACAAAGAACTAGAAACGTTTTTTCCTTGTACTTGTAAATTCAAATTCGTTTACCTTTCTGCACTGTAGGTTTATCGATAATGCAAACACTGAGCGAGTACCTGTTGCTATAGTAACAGCCTACTGCAAGAGTGGAGACAAAGTAGCCTTGTAAGTAGCTAAGCTCCCAAAAACATTTCTTTCTGCAATTCAATAAAGTCATTTGTCCTATACGTATCCATTCTTTAGTTCTCGCTGCCCAAAGATGCACAAATTTTAGTTTTCCAGGAAATCTTTAAGGTTCACACGCATATGATTTTGATATAATCCATGATATTCTCAAATGTTTATTTTGTTGGAAACGACTATAGCCTAGGAATTTGCATCAGAATCTTGAGGTTTCATTCTGTTTTTGTATAACTCACATATTAGAAAAACAGAAAATTGCAAGGTTAAAAATAGCACTTGTGAGGATATTATACAAAACAATCCATTAGCATAAACAAAATCTTACATATATTTTGTCTCTGTTGTTTCTCAACAATCTTGATTGTTTTTTTGTCTTTATGATGTGAGTATTTAACAGATCCATTGTTGAGATGCTTGGCCAAGAAAGGCTTCCCAATGTGAAGATTATCGGAGATAATGAGGTGGAACAGAGTATGTATGGACAACTTGTTCTTGGCAAAGGAGTTTCTTCAAGTCTAGAGGAGCAACTAGTGAAGGAAGTAAAAAAAGCAGGTATAGAGCTCGGAGACAATTTTCAAGTACTTTTGATCCACAGATCTTCCCTATGTAATTGCAGTAAATATCTCATCCTCCTAAAACTTTTTTTGACTAGCCTCGGCTGAGAAACAGAGGATAGCAGAAGAAGTTGCATCGATGCTAAAACTAAGTGTGGATTTAGACACAACCTCATCTGAGAGGTAGAACTTTCTGTTCTTCTTAACATAAAAAATCCAATTCCATACCTCAACAAGAATAATAAGATATCTTCTTGTTTTCTTCTTTATTTTCTTCCAGGTTGGAGAAAATTGTTGTTGCTCTGCGTGCTGCTGCGGAATATGCTGGATTACCTGTAAAAAACTGTGTACTTGTTGCTGGTAGTCAACCTGGAGTTTCTGCTGCAAAGATGATAGGCATGCCATGTGTAGTCATGCGAAGCAGGTATGGTGTTCGGTTTTTGATGTCTATTGTTTCGATTTTTGTTGCTTATTCCACACAACTAAAGCTTAAGATTTACTTCGTGATAGTTTCTTCTGCGTAACTCTGATCATTTACTCATTTTCGTTACCATCTCTTTCTCCGCTAGTTTAACTGCAAGAGGTGAGTTTCCATCCGCGAAAGGTGTAATGGATGGGTTTGGAGGTGCAGATTTGACAATCTCAAAACTTAGGCACAAAATTAAGTCTTGAAGAAACAATTCAAGAGAGCCGTCTCAGATCAGAATGTGGAAATACTGTCGAGCATTTGTTTACTTCTCGAAGTTTTGGTGAAGTATTTGTCTTGACTCTTGATATTTATCTGTAGCTACATGCTGTAACATATTGATTCTTTGTAATGTACTGTTTTGTTTAGTTTTCAGACATCAACAAGCTTCTATGCAACCTAATGTCCATTTAAATTCCAAAAGGTATGCACTTTTATCTTGTCTAGCCTCAGGGGAGTGTATGATCAGAGAATTCAGTAAATGAACTTCAATGAAACGTAATTTAAAGTTCTTTGGATTTTGGAAGGCTAATACAAGTAATACAAGATTCAAATAACTTGAGCTACTTATTTCTTCAAAGTTTTATTCGAAATTATATAATATGATTTCGTTTTCAAGTCAAAACACTACCTATATATACTACAGTACGATTTTTATGAAAAACATTTCAAAACCGACATTGCTTGTTCTAATGGTAGATATTGCACTTCTAGTTGGTTTACATTTGAGAGATCTCTGTTTCTTGTACGTTTCTGGTGTTTCGTCTCTGAACCAGTGCAGGGCTTGAGTATTCTGCATCATCATCAGCCAATGATGATATGTTTGACGAGACAGATTCTGAGATGGAGTTTGATGGAGATTGTTGATGTCGGTAGCTTTGGGAAGCTGAGTATTGAGGTGCTTCCTGAGTTGTTTTTCCTTGAGCCTCTTCGGCGAGTTTTCTTAGAAGATTCATAACAGTTGGAAGAAACTTTGACGTGATGGAGAGTACTCCAGCAAGCTAACAGATGCAGGAAACATGTTGTTAAAGACAATGTCTTGTGTTTGAAACAAATCGAGGATTAAGTAATTAGAGCTTACAGCGCCGTGTTGAAATTCCCTAGGAACGTCAAGCTGCACCCATAAGGCTTTGGAGAGTAAAAACGCCACAAAGAAGCCTAAGAGGTACAAAGGATTCCTGTTCCAAAAAGTGAAACATGCCAATGAATCTATAACACTTCAGAAGAATCTAGAATGTGTTGTAAATGAGTGCAAAGACATTGAACTTTACTTCAAGAGCATCATGAATTCATTGAAACCAAGGACAATCATCAACACAATCGCCCAAGCTGGTGGAAGCCAGTTGTTATTCCGCTTGTGAGCCTCCTGTAGAGTAGAAATGAAAACATACCATTGATTAGAATATGTAAATAATACAAAGAAATTCTGAGATAGATTTGCAAAATCACCTGTGCTGAAATAGCTTGAGTTACGGTATACTCGGTCTCAGATTTAAACTGTCTCCACAGAGACTTACATTGTACTGGCGTCAGTAGCACATCTTTTGGAGGTACCTGCATCCACCAAACCATAACATTGGTATTTCTATTTTACTACAAATGGAAGCGGCATCGGTAATAGCATCCCATGTGCCACAATGCTATATATTTCCACTAAGTGTGATGCCTCAATAATAGTCACATTTATTAACCAAAACTACACTAGAAATCACTGTATCGTGTTTACCTCTTCCCAGGAGCTAGACGCAAGTGGATCCGTAGAAGTTCCTAAGCTTCTGTTGTGGGAAGATGCAACGGAAACAGTTCCATCCATGAGAGAAGAGAAAAGAGTACTCTCAATTTTGTCTTGTCTTTCATCCAAACGTATAGCAGCCATCACAGATAGAAGACTTAAAGCCTGCCGGATAGCAACAGATAGATAGAGTTTCATGACATTAACTTAGCCCTCTTCGCCATTAATTCTAAATAGTTACCTCAGCACGAGCATCTTTTGTGATTGCTCTAATATCCTCTTTTCCAGTCCAGACCCGTGGCATTGAGTCTTTGTCATGACTGAAGACCGTTGAGAACCTGAATTGCGTTTAGAATAAAATCAAGCTCAAAAAACTGAAAAAAAAAATTATATATATAAAAAGGCTATTAATAGGACTCTACTCTGATCTTTCTCTTACCTATCTTTCATTCGGATCAGAATCTTGGCAGATTCTTCTCTCGCCTTTTTCTCCACTAAACTCTGAGAATAGTCCTTTAGATTCTGAACCATAGCATCAATAGTAGCGTCATCTAGCTCAAAACCAGTAACCACATCCAGAAAATTTGTAACAGCTGTTTCAGTCTCCCGTTTGAGAAGTGTCCTTATGGCAGGCCATGTCTCTTTTCCACCAGCTTCGAATAAAGACTCGACAGGTTCGCTCAGTGCTTGAGTTAGCCGTTTCTGTAAAACACCATGAAGCAAAAGAAATATTAATACGAGCCCTTATTAACAGCTAATAAGTTAGAAGACGAGAAACCCAAAGCAGAACCTTATAGTTGGCAGTTAATTCAGATAGTTTAGCAGCCTGAGCAGAAGATGTGTGAGAATCAATGTCACGACAAAGTTTCTCTCTGATTTTTGATGCATCCCAAGTCGCTTGTTTAACCGCAGCATCTGAAGGGACGAATACAACTTATAAGAGTTACTCTCGTCTAAATGTTATTGTAGTCTTTGGCCCCAACATATTGTTTCTCACAAAGAGACTCTCCTTTTGAAGCAAAAACTGAAATAGGAACTCTCACCTTTACATCCTTTGTCAAACACAAGGAGACAAGACTGTTGGGAGTCCCGCACAGCACTTGCGAATCCTTCACCTTGACTTAAAGACTGTTCCAGGCTGATCTTAAAGGAGTCCAGTGCATTGGATCGTAGATGTCCCAGCATGGTAGCATAGGCAGAATACACAAACTGGAAATTTGGAGAAAATTTGAAAATAAGGGACCCAATATCATCATAATTCATAAGTAAGTAGTTCTGAGTCAAGACACTAAATGCAAAGCCAAATCCGGAGGAATTCTTACATCCAAAGCTTTGGATTTCAACTGTAGACGCTTTTCTTTTCTTACTCCTTCATCAAAGTATATTGCCTCTGCATCGTACCTAAGAACGGGTACGCAAAACATAATTAGGCAGGAAAATTTTTGCTCGGAATCAAATACTCCAGGAACCAAAAAAGAGGAGCTTACTCTGAGAAGTATTTTTCAAGGATAGAGCTAAGCTTTCTGCCGAAACCAGGAACCAGACCTCGTTCTACGGCTTTTTGCAACTCCAACCATCTCTAAATAAAATCTACCCGTTATATCTCACCAAATATAGATCAGCAAGAAAAAGTTACAGTAGGTAAGGAGGCCACAGAAGCACACCTCATCGGTTGCCAAGTGACGTAGCATCTCACCGGCTATCTCTTCACACCGAACAGTGGCAACCATTACCTTGAACAAGCATAAAACAAAACAAAATAAGGTCACAAGATGAGAAAACACGGTTTAGACACTTAGATTATAGTGAATAGAAGACCTTGTGAGCAGGAAGGTCCAAGTCTCTATTCTCTTTTATAACTTTCCAAATCTCCTGGGAGCTGAAAGAAAATCCTGAAGCCGGAACTACACCACGTCTATCACCAGCAAGTCCCCCAGGCGAAATGGAATGGAAAAACCTCTGCCTCAACTCAGCAACCTATTTAGAAGTTCGCATGAATCAAGGGAATCAGTCTTAGGTTTACTTTGATGCTTCGAAAGACACGTGGTTTACATATCAGAAGATTACCTCTTTCTTAAACACATTTTCTTTCTCTTCATAGCTGGATAAGGCAACGACCTCCACCTACAAGCATATATCGAGCCGATTATCAATTAAGGAAAAGACAGAGGTATATCATGAACAATTTGGTAACAGTACAAGATTCATCAGATAGAAGCATCGTCTATATGGGAAGACTATCTCCTTACATTAAAGAATTCACTTAGAGGTGTATTCTTGTGTGCTTCAGGCTTGCGAACTAAATCCCATATCTGCAACGAATGCCAAAATGAAAGAAGAGAAAACATTAAATAAAAGGAAATTGGGAGAGAGCGTATGTGTTACCTTCTGAATATCTTCTCTTAGAACAGGTTCAAGAAGCTCTATTGGAGTCTACGAAAAAAAAAGGAGCACACGTTAATCTAAGAAATATGACTTCACCATCAAGAATCGTATTCAATTGCAAACCAAACCTTTGTTTTATCACGTATGACAAAAAGAAGAGTTGTTTTACGAGGGCTAAACAATCGCATCATGACCTACAATAGCAATAATAACCAAGTTATCGAACCTGTTCATTGAACATAACATTTCTATATGTAAGCTCATCATTATACCTGGAAAACAGTCTTCAGTAATGGTTTGTTGGCAGCCTGTTCCCTTCCGATGTCATGGCACCACCTATGGAGTTCATTTTTTTCATTAATAATCTATCAAAAAGGGTATCTAAAGCCCAAACCTTTTATGCCTATGTTGGAAGATCTTAAAAAAGTAGACTCGAAATCTGAAATTAGCACTTTCTTCTTATAATACTGGGCAGATTAGCTTTCTCCTTCCAAGGTTTATGTACATCAGCAATAGTTATCAGAAAAAGATCAGACCAAACATAAAGACTCACATGTTTATCAGTACAATATCGGCAACAGCCAGAGCGAAGAGTGCACTTTGTTTCTCAAATGTAGTGTCATCCTGAAAATTACGGCGACTTAAATTCCGAACCGTTGACAGAAAGAATAACAAGACAAATGCTTGAAACACATAAGTAGAAACTAAATGTATAACAAGCATCCATAATTTCTGAGCGAGTAAGCTAGCCAAAACCCTATTCTTTGAATATGTAGACTGTGAATCGTTATCCATCGTTACCTCGCCTCTTTCTCTACCATCAGTACCCTCCAAATCCATGGCAAGTGTGAAAGGCTCAATTCCAACACACCTAGCCATCCAAATACCTTTGGTTGTCTGACTCCTGTAAGCAAGAATGAACACAAAATTACCAAAGCCAAAACAAATCTCCACACTAAAAATGGCATTGCCACAAAAAAAAAAATATATATATATTTGGAGAATATGACTATTAACCTTCCCGCAAAAGCATCCATTTCCCTAAAACTGGTTTGAAACAGATGATTCAAAAGTGTACTCTTCCCTGTTAATCACCAATAACATACCACAATAAGCAAATCAAAGTCAAAACTATATAATTAAGTAGCTATGAGAACCAAAATCAACAAAAACAACACAAAAAGATATCAAAAATCGTTTATTGATTGGAGTCAGAAACTTCAATCCCAAACTCCATAGAAGAAGAAGAGCAAACTCATACCGCTACTCTGAGGGCCCATGATTGCAACAACTGCGTAAGAAAGTC